TCTCTCTCTCCAGGGAATTGGTCCCATGTTCACATATTTTAAATGTCACATAAAGCTCAATTGACATAATTAAAACCCTCTAAGGCCAATTTCCAAAACAGAGAGAGAGTTTGGTTGGCGGAAGAGAGGGCAAATGTAAAACAAACCAAGTGGAATGTACAAGGCTCGGAAAATAATTGTAACAGACAAAAATGCCAGATTGAGCAAGCCTACAATTTCCTTCTTTTGAGCATATTGACAGTTATATATACATTTGTTAGTGTTTGTTCACTGGCAAGCATGAATTATACAGGAAGAGGGGAAAATTCTTACACTGGGGCCTCAAACAAGCCTTGAGAAGGATGTTCCTTAAAATCAATGGTGTGCTGACTATATACAAATTGAGAAGCAATCCCACCAATGAGGACGTCCCCAGACTGGTACCAGGCATGTGGGACGGGGAGAGGATCATTCTCAGAGCAGTTCATTCCACCTACTTCCCATACCATAGGATGCAAGAGAACAAGTAACATTACCAGCCTCATTATCTGGACAGCAATGCTTCTCTCTAGATGCAGACTCTCCAATGACTATTTAGGGCTCAACAGGTGACCTTGAACGGAGGCTGCGGGGACCAATCTACTTCTGGGAAGGAACTATATCAACTGTATCTCTATTATCAGCACAGTGAAAAAAAGCACAAGCTCCAGACTCAAGTATGGCATATCAAAGCAAAATCAGAGAGATCAAACTGACACCCTGCTGATTCCCTCCTGCCAGATCACAATGACCCTGGCTTTTATGATCTAATCATTTCCTACCTTGTTTATCAGGTGCTTTTTTGGTGCCTTCCAAAACACTGCTGGAGCTTTGGTCAGGAGAAGAATTATAGTGGCGTGGATAATTGCAAGGGGAAGATAATTACCTTGGTAGACTTTTGCCCTTCGGTAGCACTGTTGGTATGAAACTCCTCCCCCACTCACTAGCCAAACTTGATCCTTAGTATGGCAACAAAAAAGTTGTGCCTTAGGGTTGGAATTGAAACTAAGGAAAGCCATATCCTGATGTAATCCAAAACCAGAGGGAGGGAGGGAGGGCATGCTATGGATGCAGTTGAAACCAGAAGCAGAAACATGAATGCTGGAAGTATGCATCCTCTCCATTCTTTGTCAGCAGATCAAAATATGCAGAGAGATGCTGTTGATTAACACCATTCCCTTACACCAGACCATATGCAGGTTGAGGTGAGGATACCCAATGCTGAACAAGTTCCTTCCACAGGCTATAAGGATGCAATACCAGATTGAGAAATTTCTGATGATTTAGGGGTTGGAATCATGGGAGGGTAGGGCTGCCAAGCCGCGGTGAGGGATCCGCACGTCTTCACAGGATCCCTGCCGCGGGGGACAGCGATAAGCGTTGCACCGTCGTCGCCAGGATGTAACGCTACGCACCGCTCTGGCAACGGGGCTGTTTGGCGTCCCGTTGCCAGAGCGACGCGTAGCGTCACATCCTGGCAACGGCAGTGCAATGCGTATCGCTGTCCCCCGCAGCAGGGATCCTGTGAAGACGTGCGGATCCCCCGCCGCAGTTTGGCAGCCCTACCCATATGTCCATCTCCTATTTGGGCATTTTATCTCTGTCCCCCGTGGCAGGGATCCTGTGAAGACGTGCGGATCCCCCACCACGGCTTGGCAGCCCCATGGGAGGGTGGGGTTTGGGGAAGTTTTGAATCAGGTTATAAAGCCATAGATTCCACCTTCCACATTAGCCATTTTCTGAAGGGGGTCTGATATCTGTCATCTGGAGAAAAGTTGTGTAACTCAATATCTCAGAGCCCCACCCGGAGGCTGGCAACTCTGTAGGACTGACATGGTCAAATTTCACAAATCTGGGTAACTGCATAGGCCTATGGGTTAGTTCCTAACCAGTGTTCCCTCTAAGCTGAGTTAATGTGAGCTAGCTCACAGTTTTTTAGCCTCCAGCTCACACATTTTTGTCTTATCTCAAGGAAGGAGGGCTCCAGAGCAAACTAATTTATGCAGTAGCCAAATCGCTCGCTCACAACTGTAATGCCAGTCGCTCACAAAGTCAAATTTTTGCTCACAAGACTCCACAGCTTAGAGGGAGCATTGTTCCTAACCATGGGGGTAGAGAGCCACTGTTTGGTCAGTCCCCAATTTAAAAAATAAAGAATGCGACCATTTGGTGTGGTTACTAAGAATTGTAATTGCTCAGCCAGTCACCAGGTGCATTGAAACCCTACACAGAACCATCTCATTAGAGTTGCTAACCTACAGGTGGGGGGCAAGGGACCCCCCACCCCCCAGCTCCCATTGACTGCTGCCATTCTGAAAGGTGGTGGGAGAAAAAATAAATTAGCAGAATTGCATGAGGCACTGTCACATATGGTTTAGTGGACTGGCAGCAGTAGCTTTGTGGCAAGTTCGATGTCATTTGTGGTTTATAGCCACTCCACCCTCCTCTGAAAACCTCCCTCACAGGTCACTTCATGGAAGAAGAAGAAGAGGAGGAGGAGGAGGAGGAGGAGGAGATTGGATTTATACCCCACCCTTCACTACCCAAAGGTGTTTCAGAGCGGCTTACAAACTCCTGTCCCTTCCCCTCCCCACAACAGACACCCTGTGAGGTAGGTGGGGCTGAGAGAGCTCTTGACAGAAACTGCTCTTTTCCAAGGACAGCTCTTATCAGAACTACGGCTTGCCCAAGGTCATCCAGCCAGGTGCAAGTGGAGGAGTGGGGAATCAAACCCGGTTCTCCCAGATTAGAGTCCACGCACTTAACCACTACACCAAACTGGAAGCAAAGGACAGACCACAACAAGGAATGACGGCAAACACAGACTTCTCAGTATAAAGTGGGTTTTTTTGCCACCCAAGCCAGAAATAACAAGGCAGACACAAGTGTTGGGTTTAACTATAGGGCCACTTTATTAACTGACAACTTTAGCTGGAACCAACAGCAAGGGCAACACAGCATGCGGTATGGTCAAGGCCAGAGGTCGAAGACCCCTCCCTTGCCTCTT